GCTCCAAATTCAATTTTCTTTGCGTAGAATTGTTCGGAATCGCTTAAATTTTAATAGTAAAAAAAACTTCTAAAACTGATTTTTTTCATTTTTTGATGTTCCTTTAAGAATGTTGAACGAACGATGTGAGAATTTATATTGGGTCTAATTTATGAAAGAAAAATTAGTTTGCATAAAGGGAAGTATTACATCATTAATAGGGTATATTATTGTGGTTTGAGTAAAATTTTATCTAATTTCCTCTTTACTATAGGAAGCAGAAGAAAAGTTTATTTTAAACATTTTTGAGTATTGTTAATATATTTGTATCCAAACGGTTAGGTTTGATAAGATGGATGAAGTAATTTTTGCCGAACTTTGGAGTACTCCGCTGTGCGTACGGACAGAACAACGAAAGGGTTAATCGACTCGCTCGCAAAACGGCGCGAGATAAATTCGATTGTCTATCGCGCAGACGTTTTCGCGCTCGACAAATTCGTGATAGGGTAGGCCGGGGTTAACAGTAACAGGATGAATATTTTTAAATTTATAGTGGACGAATGGTGTAAAAGTATAATACTGGATTAGACTATTGTCCACGTATGTGTCACATTTTTATAAAAATATACTGCACATACTTTCTCTATCTTCACAAACGAAATTGAGAGGTTAATAAAAAAATAAAGCCCTTTATATATCCACATGTAAGCTAATTAAAGGATCTGACCACTAAATTTGAATTTTATATGCTTACGTCAATCCGACTTCCGTTTGGTCACTTGAAAACGAGTACGTTCGTATAAGTGAAAGGTAAGACGCCCATCACACCTCGGAAAGAGTGCGTGAAGGGGTACGGAGATCGGTAACCCCAAAGAGACGAAAACTTGGTCGCGGAGAGACAGAACCGTGAAAGGCTACCGTCGGTCCCTTTGTCGCGGAGTCGTGCTATGCTGCGGGATTACCGGTTCACCTCGACAATGATCGTATAGCTTGCAATCACCAGCGCTGGGTCGTGCCGCGAGTTTTTTTTTCGAGAAGGTTATCACGTGGATCATTTGATTGGCGAAGTCAACATAAGCTCACTAGAGAAAGAGACCGATGGCATACTAGCGTGCAGTTGCCGTGTTTCGTGCTCGAGAACTCTTTCGCGTGTGTTAAGACTCGCTTTGCAAGATCGGCCGGTTGAGTCATTGACCTGGGAAAACGCGGGAATCGAAGGAACACGGCGACCGACCACCTTCGACCGATCGACCAGTTACTTATGCCGATTTTTCTTTTCTTTTCTTTTTTTTTCTTTTTTTTTGAGAATGCAATTAGGGTATTCGAATTGGTTCTTGTTTTTTTTTTCTGTATTTTATAAGGGCACGTAACTACAGAGATATTATAGACAGAGTAGGGGAGACATAGACATGCTGGTTCTTTTGTTAATGCGAATGTAAAGATATACATGTAATTACTAAAAGTGTAAACGATAATCATTTATCGCTAATGTAAAAATGATATAAAAATGTCCTAGTAGACAGAGACAGGTTGGGTAACGCAGTTTTCTTTATCTTTTTAACTGTAGTGAAGGCCACAGATCCGGTTCCTCAATCTATAATATCTCTATGTATGTAATCAATATTTTATATTGATTATTGCACCTATTAGTCTAGTCTTGCTTGTAACAAATCCATTACATTCTTTTACGTGTCTGTTGGGACCCACTGTCCCCCCCCCCCCCCCTTCATAGCTCGGGTACCTCGGGTTTGCTAAGCCCGTACTGTAGCTACGAACATAACTACAGCCCCTGAGGTCGCCTTAGTTTCTGGAGCAAACAAATCACGCACGACCAATACATATATTAGGTTGTCCCAAAAGTTTCTTTCGCTTTATTAATAAATAATACATGCACGATATTTTATGTTTGATGTTACATTGCTGAATTGTGCACGATTCATTTTGCTTCATTATCTATTTATTCTATTTATATAAACACGACCACATAAAATAATTGAGCGCAACTCGCGAAAGAAACTTTCGGGACAACCTAATACAATATACATGATAAAGGCGAAAATTTGTTATAGGGTCTTGAAATTTCTTTTTGGTAACATAAATTGCTTTAAACGTTGGCCTTAATTGCAACAGTTGACTTCTATATAAATAGAAAAAAGTAAAAATTAGGATTTGAATCATAGAATGAAGTACTCTACAATGGACAATAAATTTCACTCTGGACATATTTACGAACACGGTGTTTTACGGAACTTTCCACTATTCGTTTCACGAGGGACTAATGGCTCGATTGAGAATCACTGTTGCGAGGGAAATCATACCTAATTTGGAGACGGTGAACGCGTGGGTCATCGCGTGCTATTCGCATGTATACTGCAGTGTTTCTCATCCCGTATGGAAAAATGGAGTTATTCACGTCCGTGATAAATACGTTGACTATTTCCACGGAAATGATTTAACACTTTAATTGCAGCCCTATTCAAACATTTAGAAAATAACTTTCTGCAGTGGTATATCGATCAAGTGTAAATATATAGTTTATTAATCTAGGATGACTAATCTAACATTCTTCTTTGCTGTTAATATGAAATTTCATGCAAACAAAAAAAATTACGTCTTTATAAAAATAATAATCTAACTATATACTTATTTTAGTAAACGTATACCTAACAAGTAATTAAAGACTGCAGCGGTACTGTAATATAATTGTATAGCAGTTTCACGCGATGATACTTGGAATTTGAAAATGAGACCACGGAACTGCCGTGCAGCAATTAAAATGCAGTATCGATAAAAAGCATTTCGTCACTCCTCGCATATGTTTGGTAAGAGAGTAATGAATTACATCAATATCTTTAAGAAGTTAACAATATGCAATTTTACTTTTTCCATGGCCATAAATATTTGTAGAAATAAGTAGGCATATATAAGTTGACAAACACGCAGAACCAATTTCAATTAATTTTGAAACTACAATCGTATGTGTTACCTCGGAAAATATAAAAATCCTCACAACTTTGTTAATTTACGAAAAGGAGGAAGTTACTCAATTCAACATGTATATTTTTTTTTTTTACGATTCTGTACATAAAAATTACCATGTTCCTTGAGTCTCCGACTAAGCCTTAAGAAGGTAGAATGCGATGGCTGATTTCGATCAGGATTTTCTTCACACGCACCATAAACAATTATCATAACGTTATTTCACTGTTACGTTGATGAACACTGTTCGTGTTGATGATTATTAATATTTAACAGGGAACTTGTTTACAGACATGACCTATCGACGTGAGTAAAGTCGTGCTAAGAATCACGTTGATTAAGCGTATTTCCTAATAGAAGATTATTAATTTGAAGATATCTCAGTAATTATTCATATCAAGTCCCACTTCATGTAATACTTTTTTACGCAAAATTTGATGATTTATCCGAATTCGAAAAAAATAGTAGATATTCCATTTAAAGAACTGAAGGTGGCACTAATATCTCAATAAAAAAAGTAAGGTAATAAAAAACAGATTAACAGAAACATTTTGTTGTACAACGAATACCTTACGAGTTATTTGAGGTCGTCACGTTAAGAGACTCAACCTGTATAAACACGACCACATAAAATAATTGAGTGCAACTCGCGAAAGAAACTTTCGGGACAACCTAATACTAAGAAACCTTCTTTCGAATGCCCTAACACTTATATTACCAGAAAACTATCTCCTTATCCTCTAAAAGATCACAAACATGCAACCTCCTTCGAACGGTCCAAAGTGGGCCTCCCCCTCAATTCAGGCCGCCTCAAAAACCACGAGGAAAAAAAAAGAATCAGAGTCAAAGTTTTGATGGACAGCAATTCTCTCCAAGCGTGTTTACAGTGGGTGTAGAAAGTATTCGTACACTGATCAATTTCCCAAAACACTTTTGTGTGAAATTGTAGTTTTTTAACTTCTTTTTTTTATAATCAATGATATTTTACATATTCTTGGAAGTCTCTAAGATAGATATAGATCACACAACATTTACTAGTCAATATAATTTGCAAAATTAACAAAACAATGCGAAAAGTGGGTAAAAGTATAGAAGCCATAAGTATTTGTACGATTCTTATGACGAACCATTTACAATAGAGTTTGTAACGTAAACACATTAGTTTATTGCTTCGTGCAAATTAGAAAACATCAAATTTCCAGTAAAGCACTTTTAAACAGTTGTGTGAATACTTATTGCTGCAACATTTCTATTAATTGTTTTTTTCTTGTTAATTTCACAAATTATATTAACTAGGAAATGTTGTTTGGACTACATCTATCTTAGAAACTTCCGAGAATATGTAGAATGTCATTGTTTATAAGCAATAAGTTAATAAATTACAATTTTACACAATGTTTTTGGAAATTGATCGGTGTACGAATACTTTCTACACCCACTGTATGTTTGAGCTGCTATATATTTGAAAATGAAATAAGTCCACTCTAAGAAAAAATTAGTTAACGGTAATTTTAGTAAGATATAAGATATATAGATTCCTTCTCTTTATATTTATAATCATATATGGAGTACGATTTTTTCATAAAGTAAACAAGCAATTGCAATAATGATAAAATTAAAAGGAAATCCCACGAAGGAAGTATTATGTACTTGTAAATTAATGTAAATTTATTTTTTTTTTTTTAACGAAGTTTTAAAAATGAAACAGTTGCGCGAATACTTATTGCTTCAATATTTCTATCGATTAATTGTTTCTTTTTTTTTTTGTTAATTTCGCAACTTACATAAATAGCTATATTTTTTTGTAATCTATCTATTCTAGAGATTTCCGAGAATATGTAGAATGTCATTGTTTATAAAAAAATAAGGTAATAAATTACAATTTTACATAGTTTTTTTTTGGAAATTGATCGGTGTACGAATACTTTCTACACCCACTGTATAATCGATAAGGCTGGAAAGCAAGAAGCGTCCGATTTCGCGTGGAATGACCCACACGTATCGGCGGAACGTTCGTTGCAAAAGTGGCGCGTGGTACTCACCACGTGGCTCGTTGGAGTTGTGATTGTTGGAGTGGGGAGCGACGACTAGCGGATGATCGGAGGAGGAGGAAGAGCTGCTCGCGAGACGCTCCCTCCTCTTCTCCTGCTCCTCGACGAACCATGCTGCTTCCAGCAACGTTTCCAGGCTCATCCTGACGTTGCCAATTCGTTCCACGACGAGCTCTGTTCCTCTTCAAGATCCTTCGGGTGATTGAGACTGTGCGATCGGACCGTCGATTCCCGTCGCCGGCTCGCGAGGACGAAGAAGTCGAGAGCCCGTTCTCGTGTCTCAACCCTCCTCTTTTTCTGCTGCAGCCAGCCGCGGGTGGCAATCTGCGCACGAACATCGGCAACAAACAACAAACAAAAAAAGAAACGATCTTATTATCACCGAAACTACAGCAGACCGACGATATCGTCATGGATGGAAGAGTGGGGGGAGTGTTAGTAATCCGTTGACCTTGACAAATGCGCCAAGATAGGTCGCAAGAACGTAAATAATTGCATCGATTCCGTCGCTCGTGTTCCACCGTGCAAAAATCGCTCGATAAATTAAGAGGACGTGGGGAAAGCAAGCAGAAACCGATTAATCGAATATGTATTCGAAGCCAATCGACGTCACGTGACACGTAAACGATATTACACGTGAAAAAATCGCACGTGTCGCATCTCGTTTGACTCGCGGAGACACAGCCATGATTGTTTCCTACTACATGATTGTTTCCTTTGTGCTTGGAAACTTTGTTGTTCGATAATGTCGTTAGCTTCGTACGAACCGAAAGCTGCAGACGGTACGGAACACGGATATCTATACTAAAAGTGTGTAGAATAAGGCGAAGAATTTTCTCGTGCATACACGTCAAATAGGGTCCTCTTTTGTGAGAGTAATTCTAACATACCATATACTTTGCTTGCGTTTGGTTTTTAATTCTTTTCAAGATTTATTTCTAAAAACAAACATAAATATATTAATATAGTTTCCACTACAATGAATCTATGCATGTATTATATAACCAAAGTCCTAACCTGATGTCCACTACAACGTATGTATACGTATATACATAGATTGGTAGCCGTGCATTTTTGTTTACTATTAGTAATAGATTCCAGGTGTACTTGACGATTAGACCAATTACAGAAGAATAACAAGCAAAATTTGATGGCTACTGTAGTTCGTATAGATGCATTGCAATGACCATCAGGTTGAGACTTAGGCTATGTCTACTTGGATATACTGTAATAGAGATCAGGTTGAGGATTTAGTAAATATGCGTATCTGTCTGAGAAGCCACGGAATTAATTTCTATACCTAATAATTGAATACAGAGCTATAGAATTAATTTCTAGGTAAAGTATAGATATCTGTGGTACGGACACGACCGGTGTCTGAGATACGTCACGTGACGTACGCGTGACGTAACGCAGTCGCGCGGGAAGCTTTATCCCCTCCCACGTACCGTCTTCGTAATATCACACGGTGGCGATGCGCAAGCGCGACGTGCGCTTTCTTAAAGCGCAGAGCATTATCACGCATCTTGAGTTCCGATCGCTGGAAACAATCTAACAATCGAAGAAAAAAAAAATAAGCCGGAAAAAGTGCGAACGTTGTTCGAAGAACGTGCTTCGGCGTTAGCGGATTAAATCGTCGATATCCAACTCCGAAATAATTTTATTTTTCCTGATAATTAAATTTAAAATTGTACCGCTAAATTTCAAACAATAAAGGGAACACAGTAGGAAAGTAAATATTTTTCCTAAACAAAATTAATACGTGTTTCTACTAGCATTATCGAAAAGAACGAAATTCGACCGTGACTCGAAAACTAAATTTCGAAAAAATTTAAACGACCTGCGAGCAATTGTGCGTTCTAATTTTTCAAATTCACGAGCTTCAACTGGTAAGAAAATATAATTTTTAGGTATGTAAGTGATGTACATACTCGTTGTACGAGCCATCGTCGCATTTAGGCGAGTCGGATTAGCTTGACTGTTCTCGTGATGTAGCTTCGAAAGCAGGAACGAGAGTCGTTACGTGGCGTTTGTACGCGCAAGAGCGTGCTCGCGAATACGAGCACGTACAGTGTATAGAATATCAGCTGCGCAGTCCGAGAAATCAGTCAGCGAAGAAACAAGGTTCACGGGACAGAGGCGGGAAAGGCGAAGCAGAGAAACGAGGTTCCGGCGCTGATTTGAAAAGTAGATATATCCCGGGGCAGCGTAATCGCGAAAGCGTACCACGGTCACGAATAGGTACAATTGCATTTCGTGTACGCGCAACCATGGAAAAATTGCAAAGAAAGACGATGGCACGGCGCGTCGAGGTTGGTGGAGGAGAGGTTGCTTGGAACAAGTATGAAAAGTCAAGAAGCGTGCCGTAGCTGAACGAGCTCCTTAAACTGACAAAGCGACACACACGTTAGACGGGCGACGCACGCACCGTTGACCAATAGGAACTTGCGATAACATGACGTCATGAGTTGAAGTACCGTGCGATTGGCGGGGTCTATTATGGCACGGAAAACACGCCACGCAACCACCTATACACATGTTAATTAAATAGGCGATAGTCCCGACGAGATAATGTTCCGCGAAGGCTTTTAAACGGGCGTGGTAACGCGAGAAACGGATAGAAAACAATCAGGAAACTTACAGGTACGACGCGACTGTATTTCGGTCACAATGGAAACACGCTGGAACCCACTTTCACGGTAGAAATCAATTTCTTGCGAGAATTTCTGCGGTATTTCCGCTGTCAAACGTGCGACACATGCGGAAAATCACGAGGCACACGTAAAGTTTCCGAACAGTCGACGATCTTGCGACGTTTCACAGCACACAACGATTATAACCTGATCGATCTAGCGCGTGGCAGAAACATTTTACAAGTGCTAACCACTGCGCATCAACAGCCATGCTTGCTTGGCCACGATTCACGTGTCTGGGGTCCGAGGTATAGACCAATCAAAGCGCGGTTCGTGACGTCACCTGGCTGTATCGACCAATGAACGCAGCCCATGTGACGCAGCACTCCGCTGGGCGTGTAAGAGAAGTGTCGAGCTGCTGTATATTGCTCGTTAGTCGGTGCACTTTTTTCGCGATTTTCTCAAATTCCCGTCGTTATCATCGCGAAAAACATGTGAAAACGAGATTTCGGAGCCAGCCGATATCTTGTTCGAGCAGGCTTACCTTCCGGTGGACGCCAGAACGGACGAATATCGCGACAATCGTACACAGCACACCCGACACCCGGCTCGCCCGGGCAAACACTCACTCCGATCTCGGCGGCGTCACCCTCTGCCACCTTTTGTCACGTTCCTTCTCTGTCACATGGATCGGAGCTGTACACTGTTGCCACTTCTACGATATCGAAACATACAGTTCATTGTTTACCTTTGCGCGCGCGCCAAAACTATGTACCGTCACTTTTTCGAAAGCAAATCCTGTTAATCTTCTTTTCAGTTTCTCTATATTCCAATAAAATATGCGATCACTCGTAAACTTGTAGCTTTTTACTGGTAAACTAAGAAGCGTGTATCGTGATATCCGCCATGCATACCTGGGAACAAGAGGTTTTCGTATTTTTAAAGCGAACCATCAAATATGTACTAAGATTATAAATTCTTTGATGTAGATAACAAAATTAAAGTAAAAAATTCATATAAAAGTTTAAAGTAAAAAGGATAATGTTTGCAGGAAACCGTACACTTATTCTTAAATTAATTTAAAATGTAATATTTAATATCCTTCCTACTTCCAAGTGTTATTATCAATTATTATCATTTCTTCAATTCGTTTCGCGATTTTATATTCACGTATTTATTGAAGAACAATCACAATTAAACTGGATAATTTACTAAGCTAATGTTTAAAAGTATACAATTCAAAACTTATGATTATTGTAATTAAGGTATTAAAAGAACAATACTTGCTATAATAATTAGGTAAGCGAATAGTGTTTAAACATACAGAAGAATTACTAGAAATTGGACATACAAAGTCAGTGGAGGACTTAAAGAATATTTAGGTTCTTAATAAGAATTGAAATTAGAATTCGGGTTCTACTTTTTTCAGAAAGTATATTATCATCATGTAGATGTATACCATAAGTAACACATATGTAAAAATCACACAAGTACATTTGTATAACATACATTCTGTGCACTCAACATGAATTCAAATCTACTACAAACGTACAAAACATAATCGTAATTGTGATAGGCAATCAAATTTAATAAAAATATAATTTATTACACATTGCAAAAATATTTTACTTCAAAACATACATCTTACACAAAATATGTATTGCTATAGGTACATCTATCAATATGATTTTTCAGATTCATTTTTACCTATTCTTTGTAACCTTTTAAATGATAATATTAATTTTAACTTCATGCAATTTACTTTTGTATTTCAAGAAAAATTAGCTAAACTTCACACAAGTTCTTTACCATTTAAAATCTAAGACAAATTCAGCAGTATAAAATATGACTAGAATTTGCACAAAATATTATATACTATAATCTACACACAGATTTCTAGTAAATAATATTACTATGGAATACATTTCTTCAGTATAATTTGAATCAATTTGGAATTACGTATAATTTTCATTTTAAATTTTTCCATAAACCTTTCTAAATCTTTTACTGTAGATATATTTTCATAAATTTTGTACAATTTTAAACTTGTTTTGTATTAAAATATAGCTATAAATTACTATATTCTACAGTAAAAGTATTCATCAAAATTGAATTTCATATGCGTTGCTGATTTGTAGTAAATTATGTAACTTTTATTTACATGACTACTGAATATATTTTATAGAAAGGTACAAACATAAAAAATATAATCACGAACAAAACTTTTTATGTTTGTACGAATAAGCACCTTTATCTACATTGAACATATATAATTAATTTAAAGTCTTATTTTCTTTTTTAGCACACGGGAAAATTTGTTCTCAAACTTATTTTTTCCTTTAAAAATAAGTTGTTTTATATTATATTGTGCTATGAAAAAAGCAGTAAATACTGTAACAAAAAAATTATTATTAATTTTAAATAGAGCATTCAAAAAATAGTTTCACCAACTGCTTTGAATATAATACTTCATCTAAACACAAAACACACTCTAAGAGTGTGTAGCATAACACTAACATAATTTTTCACATTTCTTAGTATTTTGTTTGAGAAGTGTATAATTTATATTTATTGAGCAGCACTGCACTTTTAAATAACTACAACTATCCAAAAAATCTTTAGAACCAATAAATATGTAAATCGATTTTTACATAGAAATTTTGAAAACTCAACAATACAATTAATGTCTTCCTTGCCTCTACGATATTTAAAGACAATTAACATATTTCGAAGTTTACCTTACAATACTACAGATTTAAATAGAACCAAGAGAAAGTATTATATATTTGTCACCCTTTTATATAAGTTATTTATTTTTTCATTTTTTTCTTGATGAATATATATATATATATTTTTTTTTTAGATACTGTAAACGTTTACTAACATAAGAATTAACAATTTTATCTAAAGAATGTTTTGTTAAAGCATTGGGGTTATCTGCTCAAATTACTAACATAAAGGTGCTTCAGTTCTGTCTTTGGTGTGTTTTCAAATAGTGCTGCTCGATTTTGTCCTTCTCCTTTCTTCACCCAATGACCATAAACCCTGAATGCACAACCATCGATGACCTACGAAAACGATACACATTTACACGTATTACTCTATGTAATGATGTATTCATACGTTCGCCGAGGAAGATACAAAACAGTACCTTTCGTAAAATTTTAATCCTGTAAGGATCAGTACACGCCACTTGTGTTGAAAGAGGCTCGGGTGTTGTATGAAGCCGTTTAATACGAACAACCGCACGAACACAAATGATAGCTAACTGGAATCTTTTCCTTGCATTAAATGATTTTGCCTTCAATTCCTGTACGAAATATAAAGTAAGATAAAAACACGAAAATATTTAAATAAGATGTAATTTCATATTTTTGTCATGTAATAATTCCTGCAATAAAAATGTTATTAAAGGTAAGAATAAATATGTGTTGTGTAGGGTAAAAGAATAATGTTAGTAATGATATGCATAATTATGAAACAGTTTACAGAACAATAAATTAGTCATCATTTTTGCAATAAAATTCATTTTCATAAACAGTATAAAAAAAGTATAGAAAATGAGATCAAAGCAATCATACATGCATGTAAAGCTTGAAATATTGTATTTTTATAGTACTTTGTTATATCATAGAAGCAAAAGTAATTAATATACTCTTAGTGTTATTAATTCCCAGTGCACGTTTGCACTTTCATGCTTCAATAAACCTTCCTCATGCTTTCAGAAAGTGATGTTTTATTTAAAAGGTTTTTATTATAAATCAGTTATGCATAATTATAACCGATATTAATAAGTCTTCATGCTTTTTACTACTCGCTTTTACGTGTTAAAGTTTTGATATAGTATAATATTTTAGTTGTATTTTATAGAGTACTTAATAAAATTACAAAATAAAAAAAAATCGTATACATTTTATATACATTTTTAATCAATTTCAAATATTAATAAAAACCAAAATGTTAGTTGTTATACTATAGAAAACCTGTAATCAAAGGAATCCACATTTAATAGCAAACAAAATAAAAACAAAAATAATTTACCAAAGCTAACTGAGATATCCTACTCAGACGTCGAGAATTAGACGATAGTGAACGTTTTAGAGGAGCGATGTCTTGATCCCACAGCTGCAATTCCAGTAATTTTATATGTATTTACATTGATATTATGTTTACTGCTCCTTCATAAAAACCGCTTCCAAATTAGTACAATTTTTAATGTAATACAGTTTGAAAAATGATATTTGAATCTTTTAAGCAAGTGTGTTTCGCTATGAATAATACACTGATGAACACATAAAGCAAACAAATAAAAATGAAAAATTATTGATATACTATACAGTTTTCTAAGAATTACACTAAATGATACATGTTCAAGAGTTGTATCCTATTTTACATTTTGATATTTTACATATTTATTATATAAATTCCATAACTACAATATTTACCACTGTGTGGAAAAATGAGTGATTTAATGCATCCTTAATAGAAATTCTCTTCTTGGGCTCAATGACTAGTAACTTTCTTATCAGATCTTTAGGGGCTTCTGAAAATAAAATAAAAATCAAAACATTATTGAAATTGTAAATGTATTGAAAAACTATAAAACTGCGTTTGAAAAAATATTCTTATGTAATATATGTTTGATTACTTCAGTAGATAATAATAATCACCTGTTATATCTGCCCATTCTGGAGAAGTAAATGAATATTTCCCTTCCATAATGTTCCTAAGCATGACCATTTGCTTTCTATGCCAAAATGGAGGGCAACCAACCAATAAAGTAAACATAATAACTCCACAGGCCCATCTAAAAAAAAATACGAATATTAGCTCTTATATATGAACTTAATTATTAAATATGTATATAAAATTACACCAGCTTACATGTCAACTTCATATCTATAACCTTCTGCATTTTCAAACATATTGCATTTTAGTACCTCTGGTGCCAAGTATCCAGGAGTACCACAAAGATCTAAAAAAACAATATTATCAATAAAGATTAGCCATTCCTGTTGATTATATGAATGTATACTTGGTTTTATAAAATAACTACAAACCATATAATTTATCTTCCCCTTTCAGTACTCTAGCAAAACCAAAATCTGTTATTTTCACGTTTAGATTATCATCTAGTAATATATTTTCTGGCTTCAAATCTCTATGTACTATTTGTTGATTATGGATATGTTGAACTCCCTCAAACACTTGTCTCATGATATAACGTGTCTTTTTCTCAGAAAGAGTAACAACAGATGTGAGATAATCAAATAACTCTCCATTTTTACAAATTTCAAAAATTAAGAAGATGAATGTACTAGACTCAAAGACATCATGCAATTCAACTAGAAAGATATAAAAACATTGTTTTTCTTTATATATCCTTTGGTATACATTATATGTGATTCTTTACACCTATACTACCACAAACTTACTAATATAAGGATGACCAGCTACTCTACGAAGAATATGCACTTCCTGTAATGTAGCATCTTTCATAGTATGTCCATCATCATTTGTTTCATTACTAATATCTATGATTTTAGCTGCATACTCTATACCTGTTTCTTTTTCTATACATCTTCTAACAGTGGAAGATATTCCTCTGTAAATATTATCATAATTTGTTATTCATATTAAGATTCAACACTACAAAGTGTTACAGCTAAGATGAAATCCTATTATTTATTTAGAAAAAAAATGGTAGAATGCTAGGATATATGGCTGTTGTCATATTTCGTGTTTACTTGTATAGAGTACAATTTTTGTTTCAAATTAACGTCAATGATATATAAATAAAAATCTAAACCTAGAAGTGATATATTGTCTTTATTATTTCGTCATGAGTTTTGTAATAACGTTCATTGTTTCTTGATCGATTTACTATACGCAAGGAGTTTCATTTATTTTATAAAACGATATATCAACTAACGTTTGATAAAAATAAACGGCGTTTCGTACAACGTTTCGTTAGTACTGCAGTCCGTCTACAACATGAATCATCTGGATCAGGCTACGAAATTTTAATTAATTCGCACAAATAACTGTCATCGTTAGATGCGATCCATTTAATTTCATCGAATTATAATAATTGTACAGGTTAGTTTGTTCGTTTGAGGCGGCAAATCCCTCGACTCGCTTATTGTAATCGCAACGCACCAGTGTCTAATAATATAAACAGGAACATATCTATCATGCTATGCGTGCTTAGCGAACAAATAAAAATAGTACGCTATGTTGTTATTTTTCTTTTTTTCAAATATCACGTGACAAACCTTCCAAGGATTTCTTTTGGTTCATATTTTGCGTAGAATCCTTTCGCCGCGTCCTTGTCTGGCAAGAGGTCGTCCCCTTCGTCTTTTGCCATCCTACACGTAATAATTCTTTCATAAGAAATATCACGTTAAAAGCCACCGTATAGATAGTACATGTTCCTTTAGTTTGAAAGGAACAAGCACAAATTAATGGTTCTCCCAACCGATACGATTATCATATTACATTATTTTTACAGAGCGTCACGGTGAATGCTCGTTACATCCTAATGAACGTTAACAAAACGGATCACTGATCACCGTACCACCGATAATGGCTACGATAGATCCACGGGAAGACGGAGAAAAACACGTGAACACATTAGCACTGTCAGAAGAACAATGGCGATAGCCAACACAGTTGCGAACCGAAGAGGGCTCTGACGGAGCAACGAGGAAAACACCGAATGCTGTGCATGAAAGGGAAAACGGACAAGCGGGTAAGTAGCAATCTATTATCGGGTTAAAATTGCTATCCCAACGTGTGCATATATTATACACGTTCGTCTATACTTCGTACGAACACGAGCGTCACATGAATTTTGGCCGTTGTCTATTTTAAATTGGTACAGTTGGATTTGTTGCGTCGAACAACTTTTTTGGCATCCTCTGAACTTCGAATTTGAATACATTTATTTCTTTTGCGAATCAAACCATCACAATTGCATACGTTACCATACTTTACCTCATACGATCCATAATAATTTGCAATATTCCTAAAACTCTGCAAAAATATTTCAATTTATCGCGATAACATCTAAAGAAGGTTACAGGAATATTATTAATAAAACTTCAAATCAAGTTTATAAGTTGCAACGTGTTTTTTTATAACGATTACAGTATTTACCAAATAAAATCGTATGAAATTTGATTATACAAAGTGAGAGTTAAAAAGGGGACAGATTTGAACTCTGAACTTCATTTATAAAGTAGTTGACCAATTCCAAGAAGTGGTAGGGGTAATCGTGTGTCAGATAGGTAATTTTCGCGCCTCTTAGACAGGACTCACAATAGATATTGCTGGGATGCTATCGAAATATTTGAATGTAATATTACTAGAAGATTAATAAACGAAAATGTTTTATGGTAGAAGAGGAATAGAAAAAGTACATTTCTAGAGTGTTCTATACAAAATTCTGTTACAAAAAAAAATATATATATATATATATTTTAATAAAGAACAAAGGAACAACCTCGTTTTCAAGTTTCATTCTTTGATTTTGTAACTCCGAGTTACCCACGCGAGTATGAATCTGAAAAACAGAAACGTTTGACGTACTAATAATGTACAGAGTGTCGCACGTCAACTGTTATGGTTTTCTTTGAGGTTACTAATTGCAGTTACATAATTTTTGTCTTTACTAATATCCAGATGAAATATTTTTCAGTGACTGATTTTCGTTATAATCGAAACCTCAGAGAAAACAGCTCGTAACACTTTACGCGGGACACCCGATATGCGGTAAAAGTATAAATAGAAGCTTGTTCCTTGCAGTTTTGGCTATAACGTTGATCGAAATTGCATTGTTCGTGTGAGGCATCGATTTATTTAATGCTTTAGCACAGCCGACGGAACATTAATAAACGAATCTACGCGCATAAACTAATGGAGATTCGCTTTAAAAATCTGTTGTAAAATGTCGAGATTCTACAGGAGTGGATAAAAATGGTAAACACCTTCCAACGCCCGTCGGCTATGCGCTAACGTAATACTCAAGTTTTTCGATAGAATGAACGATTGCAACAAGCATCCGTAAATTCGATATGTTTCAAGATAAGCGGAACGAATTCTTTTATTTACGGACCACGCAGTTGCGCTAGCAAGGTCTCATTTTTGCGACATTCAATAGTGAGTTGCCTGACCGCAGCAACGTATTTGCGTTGTTGTTCTATCAAAGTGGCAAGTTGTCGGCTAAGGGCGTCTCTCCTATTTTTCTCATCGGAACACCGTTTTTCCACCTACAAGAAACATGATCAAAATGTCCTTTTTTGTACCTGTTCTAAACATTTTGTTAAATCTGTACCTCGTCTGTCTTCTTATCTGTATATCTTCAATCGAATATTCCTATAGGTCTCAAGACTTACTAATTAAACGATTTACTTACGTACATGAATCGACGAATAGCGAAATTTGTTTACCTTTTCTTTGTTGCGTTTCACACCTGCAACAATAGCTTCGAATTGCTTCAGGAACTGTTCCTTACCGCTCGTCGATGCCATTGCTCTGTACAAGTAGAGAAAGAAAGTAAAACAATATTTCTTATCAATAAGTAAAAATACAAATCTTACGAATGACTCACTCATTATAATTATCTTGGATAGAATTTAATAACGATAATTCTTTGCTTAAATAAAGCTTCGTATCGTCCAGAGTATTGTACAACGTGTAATATTGTTTTGTTTCTTTGTGCTTGGCCGAAACTGCAATGAAAATGATAAGAACAACGTTTTATTGTCAGAATGATTCAGCGAAGGTCGGGGTTTAAAAATAAATCTGTGAACCTTGATTATACAGTTCCATAAAGCGTCTTTGGTATTGCGTAAGTTCGGAGCGTCCAGGAACATCATCTAATTGCCTGGTCAAAGAAGCAATTGCTCTGTTCTTCTTGGCCAATTGTAATCTTGTCTTTGTGACCGCTTCCTTTTGTTCTTCGTACTCCTTCAAACGATCTTCCTCCTCTTCCGAAGTGCCGCTTTCGATTTCTTGCAATTTACCACGCAGTAGATTCAAATCGAATTTACATTGTTCGCGGAAGTTGTGTTCTTGCTCCTTCAAACCGTCATGTACTAGAAGCAATTCTTCCAGACGCTTGTAAACGCTGAAGAAACAACAAAGATGAATCTCTTCCGATTTATAAGTACATGCCTTTTCCATAAAAGAATAAATACCTATCTTGTTCATTATTCATTCCCATTTCTTCCGCTTTTTTCAATGAACGCTCAATAGCTTGACGTTTTGCACGAGATGCATTTGTTTTAGCAGTCAATTCGGATACTTTAGACGACAAGCTATCTCTCTCTTTCGTCAATTTCCGAGCTCGATTTTGGAGCGCAGCCTTTTGTTTCTGTAGCACGGTCAACACCGCTGAAGAATCTATTGTGCCATTTTCCTACAATTGAATGCAAGTAAGAATATACTAAATTGTCGAGTCATTTAGAAAACAATAAGAAGAAATTGACCTTCATCTCGGAAGTCGCCATTGTTGCATATTTCTCGGCCACTTTGGCGATTTCCTGGACTTGGATCCCGACGATGTTGCCCACCGCTGTTACACTTAAACGAGCCTGTGTAAATCATGAATAATAAATATCTAATTAAAAGCGTTAATATTTAATATTTATTTGTATAATTACTTACTGAACTTTCTTCAATAGCGGCCAAGTTTCCAGCCAATTGCTCTGTATTCTCCTATGAAAGAATGGTTTATTACAATACAGTTTAAAATATAAGAGTAAAAAAAAGGTTTGAATTTGTTATTTTGTAGAATTAATTTAGTTCGATTTGTCTGTAAGAAAAATCTGTAACACAAGTTTTGAGAAGACTGACCTGCTCCACAGGATCCTGCGCAATGCGTGAAAAAGGAATTATATCTTATAATTGATCGTTTTGTAAATACAGGTTTGTAAACATTTTTTAAATATTAGCTAAAAATTTCATTTTCATTTCTTGTATCCTATAGGCGATATATGTGAATAAATAATGTAAAAATTGTACTCAACGGTGTTTTCTTATTACCTTTTCCCTTAATTCCTCTTTTTTATCATCGTCTTGAGCTTCGTTTGAGGCCGCTGCCGTTGGGGATCCAGCAGTTTTCGAAGAATAGTATAAAGGAGCTTCATATTCGAGAACTGTGCCAAGAAATCTGGTAGATTCATCTCTGATAGTGCCGTCTTTGTGCTTGAAAAGTCGACGAGGTTCATACGATTTCTGGAAAATAATCGTAACATACAAATCTATCATCTTTACTAAAGGTGATAAATAATTGCTTTTTTTTTTCTAGTGGAGTACCCTGTATATCATGATAGAATTTATGTTATTATTAAAATAGTCGTAATAAATATCACTCATCGGAGAAATACATTATTTACCTGAATAACAGAAAACATGAATATAAATACATATGAACCTTACTTTAACCAATTGAATGTTTCGTATTAGATTCTCTTTAACTGCTTTCGCAGTACCAGCATCCTCGGCGAAAGAGTGTTTTTTATGGAATTGGTTAAGAGCAAACGATCGTACAAAATCAGCGGTTTCTTCTCGCGTTTCCATCGATCGTTTCACTAACCACTAAAATTTATCTTGTTATTAAAATAGTCTTAATAAATATCACGCATCGGAAAAATAAATTACTTACCTGAATAACAGGAAAAATATGAATGCAATCTAAGCCTTGAATTTGATGTGGTTCTATTCTGTATGGACAATTCATTCTGGGCAACACAGCTACAATTTTCTCAGTCAAGGATCTAAAAATATTTACACATGGTTAGAATAATATTCTATGCGAATCTAAATAAAATAATATTATAATAATGTTGTTTGCGTGCAAACTTACATTTTTTGACCTATGGTTAAATTTTCCTGGAATAATAAATCGATATCTACATCGAAATTACAGGATTCTATGCACCAGGTCATCCCACCGATTACCTAAATATTATATTAATTTAACAACTTTGTTTTTTAATATATCAGTTTTACTATCCTATTTTAATTCTTTCAATGAGGTTTATGTTCACACCTTATCAAAATTCGATAACCCTTTTATTCGAGCTCGGAAATACCCTGCTGCTAAAAGCAAATCGATAATATCCTGGAATCTCTTTGCTTGTTCCTCATCTTCGCGTACATCAGCCTATAAACCATTTAACAATGAACTTTTTCACAAGTTTTATTTCCCGCTCACCGTTTAATACGCGTTTCTTAGTACTAACAAGCTACGACAGATGGCTTCAAAGTTTTCGAATAAACACCATACATTTTATATCTTAGTACCATAAGGTATATTGTTCGAGCGACAGGTGCAACAATGAATAAATAAACAAAAACGTGTACGTTATGACAGTATGCGTAAAAGTCTCGAATATAAATTACATCGAAAATAGGTGAAACGTGGAGTAAGGAATAGAAACGATGAAACATGAAACATGAAACAGTGAACAACGCGTTGAAGTCAAATAACACAGTACCTATTTTATTATTCACATTTCATGGGATATTTTATTCATTTTATTATTATTATTTGGTCTATTATCAATGCTTTTTATGGTGAATACCATTGGGTGGAAACATGTGTTTGATTTCGTCAACGTACCTCAGTTGATTCCGAGCTTTTCAATAACCTTTTTGGTACGTCGTTCAACATAGTTAGATCACGCCAATTTAAAAAACACGACAGCTAATATGTGTGTGATGTATTTATATTGAGTTATTAATGCGTCTGTATGACAGTGTTTAACTTTGCAACGTTCTGTCACTTGACATTACCGATTCTCGCCGTCGTCCCAGCCATTTTGCTTGTGATACGCCTATCAAAATCAAACATTAAGACGTACTTCCATGAATTGTCATGTTTACGTTCTTACGCTGTCGAATTGTGGACATTTAAATCTCAAGCAGATTTTATCAAATGTGTTTTAAAATAATATGAGACTTATAAAATGGTTGCAAGATTATTTTCTTATAGTAGTTTATTATAATTATCTGGCTAATAAGCATATTTTGTTTTCAAACACGCACGATTTTAAGATCTCTTTTTCGAAAGTCTTTTGCAATGCTTATGCCTTTTACATTTATAAATTATCTTCTTTATCGTCTATTTACAAATAAAAGGATTATTGTACTTGTTTTCTACTTGTTCATTTTCAGTTAATATAAAATGTTTAACAATAGTTAACATTCCTAATTTTTCACCAATTAATATTATTCTAATTAAACTAGTATTCTATACAAAATAATATTCTAATTAATTTTATAAACATGACATTAAAGTCAATATACATTTGATAACAGATACATATAAATACAAAAAGTATAGAAAATATATAATGTTCTAATCAGTAGTCCTCGATGGTGTGATAAATTTCGAAACATTCTGGAACATGTAAGGCTACTAAACATTTTTTACATTCCCACGTAGTTTCACTTCTTTCCTTTCTTCTTGAGCATACCTTACATGTTCTTGAAGGCCTTTCTTTCTTTTCTGTTGAAGGTATATGTCTTGGAAAATGTCCCCAATGCTTTGCCTGCAACGGTATTGCACGCTGTGATGGTCTTTCATATGTACTGTATTTAGGTAGTTGTACTGATCGCAACAAAGCCTCCACCACTTCTGTTCGAAAATCTATGTAATTCATTTTTTTCTTATCATTCAGTTTATTGAATAAAACATGTGCATTAAAAATGGCTATATCTGTCATGTAGAAGAACATTTTTGTATATTCTTTCACGAATTTTCTCATTCTAGGAAAGCAGGCCAAAAATTGATTTCTACGATCTATACTACCTATGCCTTTATTGTATTCAGATATACAACTAGGTATTGAGATCCTTTTCTTAGCCTGCTCTCTTTCTAGGACTGTTACATCTTCATGCTTTGTAGATAAAAGGTATATATCCTTCTTATCTCGCAATTTTAATGCCAACAAACCATTACAGGAATGTGTTTCAAATTCACCTTTCTTCAATTTCTTTAATGATAGATCTTTCGGCATATCTTCTCTGTTTTTACTTACAGTTCCCACAACATTTACTTTTTTTTCATGTAATTTTATATACAGATTTGGTGATGAACACCAACTATCCAGGAACAATGTATGTCCATTATTCCATAATGATTCAGATAATTCCATTACTGCACTTTCTGATGCATAGTCATGAACTACATTTCTTTTTTGTTCTGTACACATTTTGAATGCCATACAGAATCCTGTATTGGATTCACAAAGTTTGTAAAATTGAATCCTGAATCTAGTCCTCCTTGTTGAATCAAATTGCATATGGGAAAGATGTCCTCTAAATTTCATAAGAGATTCATACATGAATACATTTTCCTCTGGCCTGTACAATTGTTTGAATTTATTGTTAAAAAAAGTTATAATACTCCCAATTTTTTGTAGTGTGTCATTCTGATCTCCTGTTTCTTCATTAGAAAAATGTAAATATCGTGAAAGTAATAGAAATCTCCAAAAAGGCATAGTTTCTTCAAAAATTGGAGTTAATATAACTGTCCTTTTACTCCAATACATTTGAACTGTTGGTTTTTTTACTTGTGCCATAATTATACACAAAGCAAAATAGGCTTTCATTTCATACACATTGGTTGGAAACCACTTTTCATCAAATCTTTTTTTCTTATAATTGTTGTCACTTAATCGCTGATTAGCAAATCGATTCATTTCTGTGACTAACAGTTGCCAGAATTGTTCATCTAAAATTTCATTAAAGACATCTAAAACACTGACATTACTACCTAATCTTTCTAAAACTGACTCATTTACACCTGATGTATTCGAATATTGCCATATTTTTGGATTATTTTTGTTTGTTGTCCATTTCCACTGATCGGACACTGTATTCATACATTCATCGCTGTTCGAATCATCTGAAAATGTACATTTCAACACTTCAAGAGGTATTGGAAATATATCACTGTTCTCGCTATCGTAGTACTCAATGATTCCTTTCATCGAACAGTCACTGTCTTCATCCAAAGTATCATTGGAATCTTCGGAACATGTAGAACGCTTTCTTTTATTTGACATTTTTTAACTATTTAATTAATACAAACTTATACGATAAGTGACAGTGATTTGGGAGTTGCTTTCCAAGTGTAGTTCGAGTGAAAACAGGTAAGTATTAATATTTGCCATTTGAGGAGAACATGACGATGACACTCTTTCTCGACAAGCTTTTAATTATGCACAGCTGAAACACTGGATATTATTTAAAAAAATCATCGTCGTCGATCGTGTGATAGATTGGCTTTCATAAACATCAAGGGCTCCATACTCGCGTGTTTTATAGGTTAAAGTCATGGACTTAGAAATAATATGTATGTACATGTTTACTTGTACGAGTGCGCACCACTCTCTACGCATGGCTGGCAATCAGTTTGGATTAAAGGATTGCGAGTAGGAGTAGGTATTTGTAAAAAAAAATCATAATTGTACATAGTTTTGTAACAATAATTATACGTTAAATGAATTTATAAAGAGTTTTTAACAATAATTATTGATTAAATGAATTCATGAAGATAATAACATCTACATTAATCTAAGCTAACTTTTACAACTCTTCGTGAACTTTTATGGACCAGTCCATCTTTATCATATCCGCTCCCTTTTCCGCGATCATCATAGTCGCCGCATTAGTGTTTCCACTGACGATACTCGGCATAATCGAGGCATCGATCACCCTCAGCCCTTGGATACCATGGACTCTCAATCTGGGATCCACGACTGCCTTTTCATCATCTACAAGACCCATCCTAGCCGTTCCAACGGCATGGAACAACGAAGTGCAGAGATGCCTAGCATTACACTCCCAATATTCCTTGGAATCCTGCTTAGTCTCTCGACAGTCAGGTATATCAACGTGATCCAATTTCATTCCATGCTTCTTAAACGTCTCCGTGTTCACTAGAGACTTGAGCGTATCGACAGACTTGAACAACGTTTCCATGTCTTCCTCTTCAGCAAAGTAATTCGTGTAAATCTTCACGGATTCAGCTGGATTGGTGCTGCGCAATTCGACTCTACCTCGACTCTTCGGTTTCAGTAAAACCGTCATGGGAATGATCAAGTCGTTTTCCATGATCTGCTTTTGTAACTCCTGTTCAGAGTCAATATTGAACGCTGCCATGAAAGCGTGTCCTCGCAATGCGTTCCACCGTGAAATTATGAGGAAATGAAACTGAATGTTTGGGTACCTAGACGTGGGATCGTTGACATCGACGAAACCTAGGAGATCTACTGGGAGAATTGTAAGCATGCCGCTATTATGTAGCAAATAGTTATAGATGTTGTCTAGCACATGCATCGGAAGTGGAGGAGTGGATGACTCGTTCAAGTAACTTATGCGAAGTCCTAACCATGTCAGGTGGTCCTGAAGGTTCTTACCAACAGGTAGATCAACTACTGTGGGGATTCCCATCTCTTCTAGGTGTTTCTTGGGACCGATGCCCGAAAGCATCATCAGCTGAGGACTGGCGATACTACCTGCTGAGAGGATCACTTCTTTTGACGCTTTTATGTCTATCGATTGACCGTTCTTCAAAGTGACTCTGACGCCAGTTGCTTTTTTATCGTTCAACAGGATTTTGTCCACTCTGCTGGATTTCAACACGTATAGGTTCTTTCTGTCTTTGACAGGGGACAAGAAAGCCTTCGCTACGTTCATACGTTGCTCATTGTCGATCGTACCTAGGATTTTCCCGAAACCGGTGAAACGATCACTGTTTAAACTCTCGAACCCTAACTCGCGTGCACCGTCTAAGATGATGTTCTGTACATCTGTCACATTGCTACTATAATCTCTGATTTTCATTGGTCCATTGGTTCCACAAAATTTCCCTAATTTTGCTTGCAGTTCTGGTGAACAGTTCAGGGATTTCCTGAAGTAAGGTAATACTTCTTCGTAGCTCCATCCCGAGTTACCCAGGTTCGCCCATTCGTTGTAGTCTCGGTCGTTTCCGAACACGTGAATCATGGCGTTGATAACCGAACTGCCCCCGAGTGCTTTGCCCTTCGACCATCTGCATCGTTTGTTTTTCATGCCCTGGCAGGAACCCTCTTGTGGTTCAACCTTGTGGAAGGAATTGTTTATATCGTGAGACGGTGATAATGGAATCTTTTGTGTTAGATATCTTTCATCTTCGATGTGACGATTCTCTATTCTTTTAAAAAGTCTAAAATATGTAGTATAAATGGAAAACTGAGAATGTCTCAGATGTTAGTTAAAATTCTACAATCACAGTTCTTTCAGCAATCGGTAATACGAGGGTCGTTCAGAAAGTAAGTTTAACGATGTTAGCGCTGGTCTTGGTGAGAAGGTAGAACTACAAAATTTTAGGAACATGTTCTCTCATTTATTTTGATCATAGTCCGAGAGAGCCTGCGACATAAAATTTCGGCCAATTTCATTACAAATATCCTTTTGCTATTTGACTGTTTTCTACTAAAGAATAAAAATAATCCAACGCTGGCAAAGCACAAACGGTGCATCGCTCCCTTAGAAAGTCGGAAACATGTAAGAAATAACAGTATCTTTGACTGGAATTATTATTACTGAAATTTTTAGAATGTATCGTTGACATACCAAATTGCATAAAAAAGTTCGTCTGGCAGATTGTAAGCGGTGCTAAATGGGTGCTAATGATTTTAGTCAAACTACTTCGTTTTTCCAACATGGTTTTCCGACTGCCAGATCCATTTAGCACTGCTTACAATCTGCCGGACCAACTTTCAATTTGGTATGTCAACAATACACACTAAAAATGTCAGTAGTAATGATTTTGGCCAAAAATCAAATTATTATAAAACGCCATAGTGATGCGTTGCACCATTGAATTCATGCCAGACCAAGCATTTCTGAACCTGAGTCACCCATTTCTGTCGCGGGCTCTCGGACTATCAGTTTCTTGTGTCGTAGACTCTGGTCGGTCGATTATCGCGTGTTTTGTAACATTTTATAATGGCGATTCCGTTAAAATTTGCGTCCAAGTGTGAACCGCGTAGTATAATACGTTTTTTTACCGGTAAAAACTTCACAGCCACAGAAATTTATCGAGAATTATGTTCTGTTTACGACGATAAATGCGTGAGCCTGCAGATGGTTACGCGTTGGCGAACAGCGTTCCTAAATGGCCGCGAAGAGTTGCACGATGAAGAGCGCGAAGAACGACCAGCGGACGCAAAGTGGACGAAAGTCATTACGCTTTGGGAATTCAAAAGCTTGTTATTCGTTATACGGAATGTATTGAAAGATGTGGCGATTACGTAGAAAAATAAAAAATTTTCAGAAAATTTTAAAAGTGACCTTGTTTTTGTGTTTTGACCACTCTTTCACAGCGTGATTAGATCGTTAAACTTACTTTTTTTGTACCCTCATACCATCGTATGAGTACCTCATAAGCGTAATCCTCTTTTCCACCAAACATGAGTATCATAAGACCAGGAATGTCGCTTTCAGGGCTAGGATCCTCCCCAGCCTCGATCAATAAAACGTTCCAATCTTCTACTTCGGTCAGCCTTTTGGCTAGAACGCTACCAGCCGTTCCAGCTCCAACTATTACAAAGTCGAATTCCCTTCTGGAAGATAAAATTTCCTCGGTACGATCTGCCGGATAAATCCCTCCGCCGCCCCCCAAGGCGCATTGCGATGCCAAAATTGCTTGGATCAGATGAGCGAAAATAGTAGGTGGCGTCGACGATAGTGCAGCATTGCAACCTGCTGCTATGCACGTTTCCATTGTTCTCTACGTCGAAGTTAACACGAACCTGAAAAGAAGGAACTCTGTGTTAAAACGACATAATTTTTATTTATACTTTTCATAACAATTAAAGAATTTATAGCAAGAGACTTGATACCATACTTTACCTAATATTTTAATATTTTTTCAATTATTTACATTAGCCAAACACGATGTAATACGCACGAGTACGCGCAATGTAACGTTTTCTTCCGATTGCACCGCAAAACTAAAGATTTCAACGTTTAATGGATCAGATTCAAGTGTCGCTCTATATGTCCTCTATGCAAATGATTTTTTTATACTGTAAACCAGAAGGTTAGACCACAAATGAGATATGGGATGCACGTTAGTTGAATTTTATATAATTTGACCTGAAGCGTAGAAAAAGTGCGATGCTAATAAATGCTTGTGTTGTAATAGGTTTATTGGAAAGTTCTGTTCGTTACTATTCATTAATATGTTTTTTAATTCTGTCGTTAATATTCATTGATAATGCTATACAAATTGGAATCGCGCTGGCAAGATGTCATAAATTAGTGATCAAAATTATATTATCCAATCAATGTTTATTCAAGGTATGAACAATTTATTATTTTGTTTTATTCTAAAAACGGACAGTACTTTCCAATATACGTAATATATTGAATCGTAGATTCGAGTGATTTAAACTAACCGCTCGACGAACGCTGAATAGCATTCAAGTTCGACTGCGCCACGTCAACTTCTGGTTTCTCCTTAGTCTCTTTTTAACCGACTTCAAAAAACGTGGAGGTTACTCGGCATGAATATGTATATATATTGAGTCATATCTATATATATATATATATACGAAACCAGAAGTTGATATATATATATATATATAGATATGACATGTCAATTTGGAATTCATGTTTTTATTCTTACACGTATGAATAAAACTTCGAATCTTTAACGTATTTTGCATCTCATAAAATGCGGACAAATCTAAACATCGAGCAATTGATATTGTAAACAAGAGATAATCTTTATTTTGACACTGGACAGAGTTCACGAGCTCGACCCAACTTATTATAGTCGGAAGGTACGTCTCACAATGAATGCAAATTTTTTGACGCAAGCACATGATTTTTCGAAAGACCATTGAAAGACAAACTGACATCTCTTCTAGATATCACGACGACAATCTTGCGTTTGTGACAAACAAACGAGACTTGAGAACTTCCTCAGTCTCTAAAACTCGATTAATTAACATTTTATTTATTATCTATTAACTGTGCTGCTGGTTGTTTAGTTTATTGTCTCAATTTGAGAAAACAAATAGGACTTTTGACGTACCTTGTAATAGTATGCAAAAAAACTAGTTAGGCAATATTAATAAATACTAATACAGAAAGTTCTCTTTTAAAATATAGACTGTACCCAAATAAACAGTTAGATAATGGGTTAAGATTAAGAAGGATGTCTTGCGCGATCATGAAAGTTAATAGAAAGTAATTTTCGATTACGCGAGGAGCGCGCGATCAGAGCATAGGCGTAAGCGAGGAGGCTCGAACCAGCGAACAAGCGGGCCGGTAAAACAGCACGCGTTAATACCAGTGTGAGGTTGTAGCACATGAAACGTCTGATTTATAATGAAAACTTTAAGCAAATATAACTTTTTCTTTATATCAAACGTTACTGATCAAGATAGGAGATATCGAAATCTGTACATTTAATGAAGAAATTACACGTTTCTTACCTTCAAATACGTAATCGTTAAAAAATTTCAATGAGAATTTATCATAATAAATTTGAATCTAACTTTAACATGAGAATCGTTAAAGTGTACAACTTACAACTATAAGAAAATGGGTGAAAATATGTAAATGTTTGAAAATTAAAATGAAGGAGACTCTAAACTTTGCATTAATGCGTCAAAGATCTGAAGGATAGAAATATTTTTCGAGAAAGTGGATAAAAAAATGTGCCAATACAAAATGAGGCATCTCATGTGTTACAACGTAAAAATACCAGTAATAAAAATGCCTGAAATTAACCCTTAAATGTCCTAAATTTCAAATTTGATACCGAACTTTTAAATCGAATTGTACACTTGCAATTGGTTTGTTTTTAATATTTGACTGTATGTATGTTACCATTGCATAATGTTCTTTTGAATAAAAGTTGAACAAATAAACGTCAGCTGTCAAAATTGTTCAAATCATAAATACATTGACATTTTTTAAAATTTAATTTGGAAAATCAGGCTTCTAAGGGTTAACATGTGAAGGCAGAATTAAAATTAGACTCACCCATTGACTTGTAAGTTGACCTGTTTTCGTGAAGAAGGGCTGCGGCGAGTGGGTCATCGCACCGATCCTGGCCTAGTACCTGCTACGCGGCTCAGCTGATGGGACGGCCGGTCACTGAACTCACTGCACTTTACACAGGGGTTTCCACGGTCACTATCAGTTTGCACCGAGTCCTTTGCACCCAATATTTGGTGGCTCCGAAAGGGGCCGATTTGTATTATTGGAGAAACAATACGCCACCCTTTTTTCATAATCCTCTGGGAGTAAATTCTGCACCCGCACATATTTGCATGGGTGCAGAGAATTCTCCCGAAGAATTCGGTACACCGACGACCGGCTGACGCTGAAATACAACATAAATAGTTAGTATGAATAGAATACATAATTCCGACAATAAACACGAAAGCGGTAAAAAGTTAAAGTTACCCCGAGTTGCGGCTTACGTCGCGCATACTTTGGGTGGGATCCTCAGCAATCCGATCCAGGACGTCTTCCTTCAAATTCGCGAAACGTAGGCGAGGGCGTCCCGAATCGGCAGACTTCGGTTGGAGGATCCCATCCGAATAAAGCCGCGTTGCCAATAGCCGAATGCTCTTGGCAGTCGGCGGCCGCGATCGCGGATATCGTTGGCGATAATACCGCGCTGCCTCCTCCGAATTGCGCCCGCGCTCCACATACACGCAAAATATTTCAAACCATTCTTGATTTGAGCGCACCATTTTTTCCCAGTTGACACTGCGGCGGTCACTTCGAAACTGAATTCTGGAGAAAAACAGTTTTATTTCCAGAAAACACTCCCACCCTTGTTCATTACCTGGCCCCCATCCCTTAGGAACGTTTCTTTCTTAACGAAATGCAACGTCGCGTTGTCTGAACACATGTTTCGCCGAACAGTCAATCGTAAGACAAACCCATTGCCGGTCGACTTGGGGGTAGCGGCCGTCGATGTTTGATACCTCGTTTTTACAACCACTTCTCCAAAGCACGGTAACTCCGCGACCTTGTCATAAATTTTGCGATAGCCATGTAGCGGCCGACTAACTGCTTTCGACAACCCCTACACGTGATGCACCGTTCTTTCCTATCAATCGGGAAGGTATTCCAAGTTTCGGCGGAAAGTAAATGATTTTAATGTTTCTTAAAATCCACAAAATCACAAACTTCAGGCATATGGAGAATTGAAACTCGAAACCGTTTGAGATAATACATGCCTTCAAATATTGCAATGTTTGCATATTTTCGAGAATTATTTTGATATTTGCAAAATAAGCATTTATTAATCATTTGGAGTATTATCTCGGTGGCTGCTGGGCACAATCGACGATTAAAATCAACCAGGCCAGGATCGGTGCGATGACCCACTCGCCGCAGCCCTTCTTCACGAAAACAGGTCAACTTACAAGTCAATGGGTGAGTCTAATTTTAATTCTGCCTTCACATGTTAACCCTTAGAAGCCTGATTTCCAAATTAAATTTTAAAAAATGTCAATGTATTTATGATTTGAACAATTTTGACAGTTGACGTTTATTTTTTCAACTTTTGTTCAACAGAACATTATGCAATGGTAACATACATACAGCCAAATATTAAAAACAAACCAATTGCAAGTGTACAATTCGATTTAAAAGTTCGGTATCAAATTTGAAACTTAGGGCATTTAAGGGTTAATTTCAGGCATTTTTATTACTGGTATTTTTACGTTGTAACACATGAGATGCCTCATTTTGTATTGGCACATTTTTTTATCCACTTTCTCGAAAAATATTTCTATCCTTCAGATCTTTGACGCATTAATGCAAAGTTTAGAGTCTCCTTCATTTTAATTTTCAAACATTTACATATTTTCACCCATTTTCTTATAGTTGTAAGTTGTACACTTTAACGATTCTCATGTTAAAGTTAGATTCAAATTTATTATGATAATGAATATTATGAAATTTTTTAACGATTACGTATTTGAAGGTAAGAAACGTGTAATTTCTTCATTAAATGTACAGATTTCGATATCTCCTATCTTGATCAGTAACGTTTAATATAAAGAAAAAGTTATATTTGCTTAAAGTTTTCATTATAAATCAGACGTTTCATGTGCTACAACCTCACACTGGTATTAACGCGTGCTGTTTTACCGGCCCGTTTATTCGCTGGCTCGAGCCTCCTCGCTTACGCCTATGCTCTGAGCGCGCGCTCCTCGGACGCTGTGATTGGTCCGTGGTTTTTCGTTAATAATTCAAAAACGAAGCAACATCCATTTTTGCAAACGAAATTGTCATTCAAAATCGTTTCAGCTACATCCCATTTCCGGTTCTTACACTAATTCTGGGACATCCGATATAGAAATTGCATGGTAAAGTGGGGCTCATGTTCCAGCGAGAAGGAATTTTTGTTAACTTTGTTGTTTAACGAGATATGATGGTCAAGTTTCGTTTTTCAAATGGAACTATATATTTTTTTGTATACCATGCGATAGTACTTTTCATGACAAATTCATTAAGCTTGAATGTATTTACTTGATTTTTATTAGTTTTCAAGCTATAACGCTTCAAAGTTTGCTAATTTTCAATGAAAAATTTCGGCGGTCCCATTGATGCAGTTAGCACCATGCGGTGAAATCGATACGGAGGGTCTCGCTTGGGTTTCTAGGCCCAGAATATTGGGATTCTTTCCATTTTTCTCCGTATCGATTTCAAGAACCGCATGGTGCTAACTGCATCAATGCAAAATCTCGTTAAATAACAAAGTTAACAAAAATTCCTTCTCGCTGGAACATGAGCCCCACTTTACCATGCGATTTTCATATTTGAAATTTTCCATTCAGCCGATAGTTTTGAAGTTAGAGCGCTGTATCACTAAGGCTGGGACACCCTGTATATGATAAGTGAATTTTCTCATTCTTGTTCCACCTTTCAACAATCCCTCACAAGGATTCATTCGAGACAGCTACCAGCTAACAGTTTCTCACCAATCTCCACAACGTACCAGCGTGCTTCTAGTCTTGCAGGAAGGATAATCTAGGTAAAAAAGATAACAGCGTTGGTCTTTTGCAAATCGATTCATCGTGTATTAAATATCGTAACATTGTTTGGTACAATGACTGACAAATTGACAGCGCGTGCACGGTACACGCGTGCACGTGAAACGACGTCCCCTTTTTCGTGGCGAACTATTGCCACATATAGACGCGCGTGTGCGATTGTTTATGGAAGTCCGAAGTACAAAAGCGGCGAAACAGCATGTATATTTCGTCTCTCGGCGACGCGTTTCCATAAATCACGACTTTCTCCTAAAAAGATACAAGTCTTTCCTTCCTTTTTTTTTTTTTTTTTTTAAGATCTTGTTCGAAAAATATAAGTCATCGTACAATATGGTAGAGACTATCGTCTTGGGCTGTCCGTGTGTCTGTGTATACGTGTACGTACGTGAAAAAACCTTGATGGATAAAGAATGGACGAGTATAGAAGAATGGTGGGTGAAACATGGATGAAGCTTGGCAAAAATTCAACAGTTTTACCGCGGTTCAACGAGGAAACAGGCTTTTGTTTCCGTTCCTCGTTCGAACGCGCGTTCTGCAACGGCAATGACGAAAATGGTGATTGAATACCGTGGCTTCGGTTATTGTCTTCGAAACGTGATCGTGCGTCGTTCTGCGTGTTCGCATACAAGATACATTTGAAATCGGAACGACGCGCGCAAGTGTCTGTTCATCTTAATCCTACGATTCCCGTGTGACGAAAGAACCAAGGCACTGAACACCGTTTTCTCGATAGAAGTGGGCAAATTTCTTATTTAAATAAAGTAAAGATGTTCAAAGATAAGAAATTGTGTGATTTATTCTTTTTAGGATCATTTCATTCTTCTTGTGTTTTTATTCCTTCAATTTGAGGCGTCGTTTGTCGAATGAAAATTGAAATTCGAAATTTTTAAGCGAAGTTATACTTTGAATGGATCGAAACTTGATAATTAGACTGCGGATGTTTGTGCAAATTCATATTTCTGGAGATATACTGGGTCGATGTATGAGTAAATTTCGGTATTTTACTTGCAATTTATTTCCAGTTATATTATCAAGTGACAAATCTTGATTAATAATATAATTATCATCGTTGAATATTATTTGTTCCCATTTAAAAATTTCTACATACCTGAAGTATGATTATTATCATTATTTACCTGCAACGAGAAATATTTATGAATTAACCCAATAGATAGAAAAATGATATTTAAATGAAAGTATCCTTTATCTTATCTTTTAATTTTTGAATTTAAGCACATCCTTGTGCATTTCCCAATATTTCCAGTTGTCATGAATGCACAAACGTGGGCAGTCTAGTCATTAGTCGTATGTATCGTTAGTAAAATTTTGCCAACCTCTGCTTTCGAAACGAGAACGAATTGTACCTACGAATAGTAACTTGAAAATAGTCGGAACGAATGGTCGGCACTCTCTGATGTGTCGATACACCGGAATGATAGAAATTGTTCGGAGAATAACGAAGATCGAATATACGTCGCTCGAACACAAATCGAATCAGAGATGTTTTATCTTCGTTAAAGTTTCGCGTGCTACTCGCCTACGAGAAGCATTTACCCGATCTAAGAAAGAAAAGTGTTATACGAGTCTTATTTATTTTTGTACTATTCCGTGACTTTTGAACTCTAGTTTAACTCCGATAGCGAACACCTATTACGTATAATGATTGAATTCCATTTGTCCCTGTTTCTTTCTCTGACGATGAACGACAACTGTCAGTTATGTATCGTTGGCCTCCGAGAAGCATGCCTGAGGGTAGACTCGGTTCAAATGAGTAAATACTAGGAGTGTGCGGGATTCCCGAAAATATTCGAGATTCTCGAGTTTATGCGGGATCCCGAGTTGATTCGAGATTCCCGAGAATACACGAGATCCCGCAAAAATCCGGGATTCCCGACAATGTACGGGATATAAAATAATATCTGGGATTTCCGAAAGTGTTGTTATTCTTGAAAATCTCAGCAATCCGAATGTACGGGATTTCAAAATTCCCGAGAATCCCGAACATTTACGGGACCTTGAAATTCTCGGGAATCCCGGATGTATTCGAGATTTTGAAATTCTCGGGATTCCATCCCGATCCCGGGAGGAATTCTCGTCCCGACCGGGATCCTGCACACCCCTAGTAAATACTCGTGCCGACACGTTATCGCAGAGATTAGGGTTGTGCAAGTATCCCAAATATAAAAATATTGGGGTTGTCCGACGATTTTAGTCAGAATTGGAATAAGTTCGCATAAATCACTCTCAAAAATTGAGTTTTCTAATTCTGATCGAAATTGTCAAACTACCTATACATTCCTATTTCTAGTACACTCCAAACAGCGATCATTCGAACCGAGTCTACCAATTGGAACTACCAATGATACATGGCCCCGCGAAATGTTCGTCCAACGAAGCGATTCGATTGTAGAAAAATAAGAAATTTTCATTTGATGAGGTCCGTTTTGGCCTCGATGTCATCCTACATAGTCGCCCCCGTCTACGTCAAATCCGTCGGACTCGACCTTCTCGGTGTCAGGTTAAAGATGCAATTAAGCGATCTAATCTCGCGCGCTGACGCAAACAACACTGACTGTGTCATTCGCTGAATCTCCTTACAGACTAGCAAGCGCGTTATCACGATATCGTCACACCTACGTGCCATTCTGCCTCTTACCCTTAATTAGTAACCACTTTTGTACGTTTCTTTTTTTTTGCGTTTTTGTGCAACAAGGCACTAGGAACAGATCGACAGTTTCCATCGAAGCTACGTCGATCGATTACGTCGATGGAGACTTGCGTTTACAATTTTTCCAATGGTTTGCTGTAGAATCGAATCGATCGTTAACGCATGGACCACCAAGCTCATTTGAATGTTCAGTTTCAATATTTTAAACAAGTTACAAGAGGTCTTTCCATGTTAGTATATATTAGATTCATTCCTTATGTTCGTGTCACAGAGTGTGTTTAAATATATAAAAAAAAAAAAATCTTGAGAAACTTTATAGCGACGATATAATGATTTTTCATAACACAAAGCCGTGACTGATTAATTCGAATAGCAAAATAATAAGTGACATAAACCCTTGAAATGGCCTAATGTTAATACAGACTGACATCACTTTGCGCATATTGTAACTAGACTAACAACAATTAACAGATAATGGACAATGAACACTGGAATTAAAAAATCTATTAAAAATGTTTAAAAATGGCATCATATAGTGGTGCAACTGAGGGTGTAACTTTGAATTCGAAGCTCACAAGTTGTAACAGATACGGTATTGGTTAAATTCTGTTTATTATTTTTAACAATGCGAGTTTCCTTTGTCAATATACGTCATCTAATAAATAATAAACATAGAGAAATCCTATAATTGTCTTAGCAAAAATATTCTACGCGAAAATTTGGTTTAATCTAATGAATGTTGGTTTTAAATAATAGATGATAGCTATGAGTAATCTATTAAACAATAGACGATGAATGAAATCAAACATGTCCCGATTTATACGTGACGTTTATTCTATCGAATGATTGCTCGGATAAGTTCTTGTCCGTCCAATATAATACCATTTTATAATTCAAATTATTATTCAAATGGTACCGAATAAAAAAGGGTATTCGTCTTTTATTCGTCATTTGAGATGTTCCAATTATATATAAAAATTTTATGAAATTTGAAATAGTCGCTAACGAATGATCGATATGGCGGTCGATGCGTTAACGTGTACTGCGAAACTAGTTTTCAACGCCTAATTGTAAATATTCTCGACGATCATCACCGACAATCCGATTCTCAAGTTTAAAAGGCCACAACTCGGTGAAGATCCACGCTCGATTTAGGTTCTTATCGAATTAGTTCTTTGCACTCGAGAGACGATCTCACCGTAGCACGTCTCACTAGCTCCTAAGATCGTTTATGTCGCTGCAGAAGCGCCTAATGAGCTAAGACGTAGACTCGTCACCTCTCGAGCCCAAAGGGTTAGATCTCCCTTCGGCGATCGACGTACACGCGTGATCGGCCGACGAAACCTCTTATCTTACAAATCGTTCTCTCGTCGTGGCAAATTTGAACGAACGCACGTTAAAGCAAATAACAAAAAAAAAAAAAAAAAAGAATAAAATAAAAACGCGAACGGTCCCCAGCTCGTAGGTAAAAATGACGCTTAAGTATAATTTACATATCTATACCCGTACGTAAGCTACTAGAAAAAGTAAAACCGTCCCGCAGTTGTTTGTGAGAGTGTTAGAAATAGGGCTGGGACTATTCGAATAATTCAACACTTTGCTGACCGCAGTTCTCGTTAACTACGCACGATAATATGACTTGGAGACCAACAATTTATGTGGGTATTAATAACGTGGCATTTTTAAATAATACTTGTATCTCTGTGAAACTATTCGAGATTTTCTTAAAATTTTGCATTACCTGATGATGGTTCTAAAAATATTTGGTAGCATTTCATTGATTATAGTTACGTGAAAATAAAAAGACTAACTCGCGTGCAATTAGATCAATGTCGCTAGAAGTTATTGTTCCTATTAAAAGAACGTACAAATGTTGTTTTCTTAAATGCAATTAGGCTCTATAAGCAGTACAAGTGATCTCAAATATGTACATCTTTTGAAAAATGAACTCTCATCTAGCGCCTGTCGCTATTATCTTTGATTTTAGATCGCATGCAGTCACTAATAAATACTTGTTTGCGGGACGCGAAAAGGGAGATCCCTCTCGATCGGTTGGCAAGTGTCAATATTCGAATATCGTGTAGGTATTCGAATCCTACGAATAAACTACGAATAGCGTTTGAATACTTTAACATTCGAACACAGAGTTCAACATACGAACAGTTTATTTCAACAGTTCAACCTTCGAATAGTCCTACATTCGAATAGTATTCGAATAGGCAAGTACTCGAATAGTATTCGAATCGTATTCGTCGAATATTGGAATACAGAAAAATTCGACAAGAGGTCACAGCCCTGTTCAAAAGTCAATGTAAAAAAAAAGCTTCGTCGTTCGTGCGTACTGGTCGACGCAACGCGAATAAATAATAAAATGAGAGGGGAGGAAAAGAGCGCGCCTCTATCCACGTCCTTAATACTCGTCTCTGAACATTTCGCACTTGATCCCGTGGATCCGGGTGCTCCGAGCCACGTTGTGCCATTGACTTTGCTCGGTTAATCGCTCGAACGAATAACGACGCGCGATGAGAATCATTAATGCCGTGCATGATTTGTCGAAAATGTTCACTTTCACCAAATATAAGTCGAGTTTTAATTCAATTTTATAAGAAATATTTATGCAAGACTTTTTTTCTGTATGAGCATATCGAGGATTTAAAATTTAGATGAAATTTAATGAAAGTAGAATCGGTGGTAGGGTGATTTGAAATTGTTTCACCTAGACATCCGAGGTGTTTCAGGAAAATACAAGAAAATTTGATTTCTCTAGTTCGGATCATATAAATTAAAATTTGAAAGTAATATTCTGATTTATCGAAGACTGCGCTCAAAGTATGGTTCAGAATATCTCGGAATGCTTCAGAATGAATAGTGCAGAATGTTTGAACACTGAAACTTGAAACAGAATGTCGATCTCGTTGTTTACTAGTGTCTAAAGTTATCCAATGACGGATCGATGAGACGTCGAACTTTGATTTGTCCACGACTCGTCGTCCCCGCTTCCGGATCTATTTACTCCGTTAAGTGTAAACGACCCTACGAAGCATCTGGTGGAAGTAGAACAAACGACATTAACGATTCTTATTGCGCGCTTGGCGTACGGCGTTGTACGGCGCGACGTCAGCAGCGACGACTCTGACGTAGATCGGCGAAGATCGATGATACATCTCTAACGCATACGTCAAGCCCGTATTCTATGCGATACATATTTCGGTTATACGAGTTGCAGGGGAAAACGAAGCGACGGCGTCGGTTCTACGTCGCTGCGTACGCTTTTTGCGAAAGGAGTTCGGGTATGCTCGGACTTTGAGCCAGAGAGGAGCAAAATTTTATTCGAATGACAGATAACTAACAGAGTTCTTCAGCAATTTAATTCGATTAGACAAGTTTCAGATGGTCGATTTTTTATTCGTTCATTGTAAAATGTTTAATTTTATGAATCAAATCTTTATTCAACGAGTAAAAGATAAAACGGTTGTTCATTCTTTATTTCTTTTTGTTATCTGTATGAGAATTTTGCTCGTCTCCATTCTCAACGAATTACGTTACGTCAGTTTCATAAATGTCCACGGTTAACTGATGCAAACGTTAGGAGAAACGGATATCTACTATTACAGTGTATCTACTAGGTGTACGTATATCTAGTGCTACAGATAAGAATAAGTGGACTGTCAGACGTCGACGTTCACACTCAAGGCTGAATTAAGACATGGGCTTGAACAGGTTCAGGGGTGTCTAGAGGACCTATAACATTACAAGCATGAGACAGTTTTCTTCTTCTGCGACTTCATTTTGTAATACTGATTTATTTGTATTTAACAACAATTGCGTAAAGCAACTGTTCAAATTTGAATCGCTATTAGCCTCGTAAAATGAAGTTTAATTATTCTTCAACTATTTCCTGTTTTGAAAACGATAATGGTGGGTCTCGCAGTACCTGTAGCCCAGGGTCTACAAAATGTTAATTCAGCGCTGGTTGCGATAATCTACGACGAGCGTTCGTTATCAAAGAACCGTCCGGATACGCGAACTCCTTTCCGCGCGTGACACGCGTTACAACTAACTCTGGCTACGATTTAACCCTCTATTGCACGGATTTTATTGCATCCTTCGAAAAGAAATTACTTCTTACTTATACGTCCATCTTGCTCGGTATGATAAGTGACGGAACCTGCAGAGGTGTAGCGATACCACCAAACGTTAAAAAATCGTGCAAGTTTACTGTTTAAAATGAAAGATAAATATTTGTGTAACAAGAAAACAGAAAACACTGATGACTGCATGCTGAAAAGGATGATTCAAAGTTTCATTAAAAAATATTACTCGTTTAAAAACATATAGGAACTTCTTCTAACGTAACCTGGAAACGGCTCTGAACCTGGAGGACTGAAGAACAAATCACTGTATCAATATAATTAGTCCCCTATTACATTAATTGTCACCAAAAATTGTGGCAAAGGCATCGTTAATAATTGACCGACTGGACACACACGAGTCAAGTTGATGGACTCAATAGCTCTAGCACTAAATTAATCTAAGGTGCCTAAGCCATAACCAAGGGTGGATTCTCAACTACACCTACTATAAATTCCCATAAAAATTATGCGTGAATCCTCGTGGGAATTCCTTTCATTCGGTTCCCCAACGGGATCGTGCAACGGAGGGTCAAAATAAAAAAGAACAAACGAAAGGATAGAATGTAAAAACTCAAGGTGGGCCATATGAGAGGGATTAGGGCCCATCTACGTGTGACGTCTTCGTCGTCGGTACGGTCGTCGTACTACCGATGTGGAAAGAGAAGCAGCGAGACGAAGCTAGAAGTTCGGAGCTCGCGTGGCCGCGTAACTCGTCCTGGTTGCTCCAGCGGCGGCGTCGGCGGCATGTCCCGCCGTCCTAGTCGTCGTCGTCCTGGTCGTCCGACGAGGTCCCTCGCGGGGAGCGCGGGTGGTGTCGAACACGCCGGCATCTGTGGTACGCGCTGAGCGATTATTCCGTCGCACCGCAGCTCCTTCGAACCCGGCGCTTCATTTGTGCTCCTCGAGGATCTCCTGGATGCTCACGTAGGTGCCGGTCAAGAAGCCCAGAACGCCAAACGCGATGATCGCCAGGTTCTTCCACAGTCTCCAGTAATAAGCGCCCAGGCCGTTCTCTTGCTCCCAGACGGTCACCAGCTCGATCACGGATGGGAACATGAGTCCCAAAGTGGACAGACAAACGGCGCCCACCAGAGATATAAACGGACCTAGATTTGGTATAGCAATCGCCATGCCAACTGTGAACACTACCAGGATGATACGGATCGTGTACTCGGCGATCATCTTCCGCGAACCGAAGTATTGTTTGGCGTTCTTCCAGATGATCTCCATTGGCACGTAGAACTGCAGACCGTAGGTCAGGAAAATCGCTACGGCAATCATCAGCTTCGCCGCCTGAGCGAGGATCTCGTCTTGTTGTGGGTTCAACGTGATCGATGCTTTCGTGTCCTCGCCGTACCGCCAGTAGCCGAAGAAACCGACCGTGCTGTACAACAGCACCACGAAGAACATGCCGGTGTTCAGGACACCGGGACAACCGATGAAATGCGTCGGGGTCTTCATATTGTTCTCCAGGGGCATTACCTGGAAGCATATGAAATGGGATGGTTAGATAATGTTACTCGATGGTGATTTCTAGTGTCGAACTTTGAATGATTCCTTCAAGAATAACAAATATTCATAGCTCTCTTTTGAAAATTAGTTAAAACTGTCCCCAGTGCAGTACCCTAATTGTCTGACTATATAATTTATAGAATTTCAAATGGCGTCAATTTAAGGTAAAACCTGGGAGTGAGCGACAATTAGTTTTTCACCTCTTTAATGCACTTCAAGTCAGTTAAAACTGATAACGTCGTCGATGCGCATTAGCATAATTACTTATTTATTCGTCTTGTAAATAAAACATTTTTAAATGCCGTTAATTAAGATTACAATCTCATCATTTTTAAACTATAGTGTCAAAAAGATAACGTTAATATAGTAAAATTTTTAAATTAAATTCGTCATTGTTTTTCTGTTCTAGACATCAAATAAAATAATGTACACGAGTCGCAAAATAAACCTTCAGGTTATTTAAACCGCAAATTGGAATTTTTATGTTTCGCTGTCGCCACTGTTATATTACATTAGTCAGCCATAAATTCAGGAAAAAGATAGCCAAGTGCTTAATTTGTCTCGTTTCTTTATGCAGATGGTGATGTAATAGTTTATGGTATTAGATTTTTGCTACACAGTTATCACGGCTAGAGTGACAGCCGATACTCGAGAGTTATTGGCGCGGCGCGTTGTTCGTTTTTATCGATTTAGAGATAACCACGGACTTGATAAATTTCCGTGATTCGCGAAAAGTGTAATTACATCCTTCGACTCTGTGTGTCGAGTAATTTCAAAACACACAACGATCACGTGCAGTTACATGCTACAAAAAAATAAACGATACAATTCACGATTCTTGCCAGGTTTATCAGTTTGGTAAAGAGAAACACTTAATCAATTATTGTTTTTTAGGTGTGAATCATACTATCTGACATAAAGACAGATTTTAACTGATAATTACCTAAGTATTAGATCATTAGTAAATTTAACTATGAGTATTCATGTTTAATTTCACAATGTTTGAAAGAAATTACAAAATAGTTTCAGCAGATTGATTCCGTAGTTATTTTTTATCAAAAAGAAAACGTATCTATACTATGCTCGTACTGATAGCGAAACAATTTAACTTGTTTTTATTTTATCTGCAAATTAATAAAGTTTAATTAAACAAAATCACTAGAATAGTGTTTTTTTCATCAAAGCTTATCAGTACCTAAATATTTCTTTGTAAAAAGAATACGTTTTCTTGAAGTATATATATATAAGTAAACATACAAAATTTAAAGAAGTTATTATCAAGGGAGTTTAAAGACAAAAATTCGTTCAAATAAGTGACTGTTTTTGGGCATATTCTAAATTACAAGGCAAAAGAAGCGTCGTGGGATATTTGAATTAAAAAAAGAAAAATTAAAAAAGAAAAAAAAAAAGAAATCACATCCGAAGGACGCTAGAATGCGAAATACTTAAGAGTTGATTTCTCCGAACTCGTGTGCGGCGGAATTTTCAATACAGCGACTAGCTGCCATTCTCTTGTAACGTTATACCGCGCGATTGAAATACTAAACGCAATTCAACCGCTACCTCTGCGACCGATCATGCTTGTCAAGCTGAATACGAACGAAGCGACCAATTTGTAAAACTCATAGACGAATTAATTAAGAACAGTCTGGTACTTTTGGCTGAAACTGTCCAGCTCTTTCCAATAGTTTAGAGTTCTATAAAATTGTATAATTTTCAAATTTTACAAGAATATAAAAAAGACGACTACTTTCTGACCCAGAAAAAAATTAGTACCCTCCCAGGTTTCATTCCTGCTTTCTTCGAATAATGTCGTAGTCTGCCAGGCAAGAAAGTAAGATACAGGTACCCTCAACGTGTCAAGTAGAACTCTTCAAGAACTCATTAAAGTCGATTTCTTCTCTTAACAAATTACTATTGAAACTTAGCGTTATACTTACAACACCGATGCCTTCCAAGGCGAAGATGGCCGTGCCGAAGAACAGAGGTAACTGAGACCAGCTCGAGAAGTTTGGCAGGTCGCTAATGGTGGGCAGGTCGCTGAAGATGTAGTAGAACGTGATCCCCATTCCAGTAGCGATCAGAACGTTCGCGATCATGGAGAACGGCGCCAGATACTTCAGGTTCCTCACCAGGGAGAAAATGATCAACAGTGGCAATAACGCCGCCATGTAAAGTCGTACATCTCGATCGGTCTGGGAATAATAGTCGACCACCTCCTTCACGTTGCTGGAGATGAAGACTATGTACACGCAGCAACAACCTATCAGGTCGATCACGAGGAACGAGTTGATAGTTGCTCTGAAACAATAGAGAACGACGTTAATTAGGATGATCATCGCGAACATGTTCATTAACACTTTATCTACCGGGCTATTTAGAAACAGACTTTAATTCATAAAAGAATTTTCTACAGTATCATATGCCAATCTAGGCTGACAATAATTCCTGTATACTGTTACTGGGTACATTGAAAGCCAAGTCTGCTTCCAAACACTGAACATTATAAGTAGACAACCATCAACACAGTAAATAAATTCGAATAGCTAAATACTGCAATTAAAAAGCCTAAAAATAGGCTCCCGGTAAATAAAGTGTTAAGGGATGCTTATACATTGGTTTAGAGATTAATAATGGATGTGGTTAACCTTTTGCACTTCAAGAAATTAGGCTACATCATCAGGAACGTGTTCATTAAGGGATGCTTGTATATTGGTTTAGAGATTAATAATGGATGTGGTTAACCTTTTGCACTTCAAGAAATTAGGCTACATGTTTTGGTAGTCAACTTTGACAAGTTCTTTTTAGATTATAGGAGTCTTTTTCGAACTCTAAATTAGTATTGACCAAATATCATCAAATATAAATTAAAATAGTTTTACGGAAATATTATTGGTAAAAATACTGCCACATTTCACTCATTTAAGTAGATTTTAATCGATAGTGTCAACTAATGGTGCTCGTTTCTTATCTACTCTCAAGTTAGAGAGCCGCATTAAGTAGATTCATATCTAACAGACAAGGAGGGCAACTCCTTTCCTCGATCGCTATTACAAGCTGCAATCAAGAGCACTGCTCAAGTTGTCGATCAACATGAGACAATTATAGTCCATGTATTTATCTTCATCGATTCATTACTCATGGCAATTAAAACACTACTATGTTCTTATGTTCAAATTCAAATATAAGATGAATAGGCCAAATTCACCTTATTAATAATATGGTATGCAAAATGGTTGTTGATTGCTCTCTTTGCCATCCGCGAATACGCAATTCAAAGGAATTTGGCGTGGTCGTAAATCTGGCTTACGCACGATCGCGAGTCGCATTCGGAATGCCTTGCGTCAGACTGACAACGTGTGACTGATTCAAATGGACGATTTAGCAGATAAAATATAATCGAATAATAACTGGTATTAATAAGTTGGCAGGTAGCTAGCAGAGCGCTTTTCTAAACGATGTCTTTCCAAATTAACGTCTTTGTTTAGAAGTTGATTATGCCACTGTCTGTGTGACTTCGCGCTTAAGTTTGACATGGATCGTATCTCACTGGTTTCGTTTGAATTTCAGAGGGCAACTGAATGTTGAATTACACAGTGGTTATTTAGAGTTTCATTAGTCACACTTCTCGTGTCGCAATTAACATCAACAAAACATGAGTTTTGATGTAAGGAGGGGGGGAGGGGGGGGGATGAAAGTTAACGAAAAGTTAAGAACATTTTTTTGTATGAAAAAAAAAAGAAGAAGAGGAAAAATGATTATTTGGTAGGGGTGTGCGGGATCTTGGTCGAGACGGGAATTCCTCCCGGGATCGAGATGGAATCCCGAGAATTTCAAAATCCCGAATACATCCGGGATTCCCGAGAATTTCGAGATCCCGTAAATGTTCGGGAATCCCAGATATTTGCGGGAATCCCGCACACGCCTAATATTTGGCCATCTAATGTGGTTGATCTCTTAGTCTACAATAATCTATGAACCCTCAGTGACCTAACGGTTGAAAAACGGTTGTAAATTTGAGGCTACCTAATCAAGCATTTATTGTGGTCTTTATGTTTGTACCGTCACCGAAATTCAAGTATCTAATACGAGTTCATTTTCTTTGACATTTTCACATCCCAAATGAATTATTGTAGTTGTTCGGTAAAAAGCGCGGTCGCCCATGTACGAGTGACACGGCGATCGAGGTGTTAAGTGATAACTGAAGGTTAAAGAAATAAAATCTATATCTAAAACTTACTTTGCCAGCCGGGCATACTTCTGCACCGGCTCGGGACCAACCAGAAACGCCGCCTCCGCGACGTCCGCGAATCCCAGGCTGGGCGTTTGCATCCGCCTGCACAGTTCGTGGGCGCATTTCACCAATATGTGCACGCAGTAGGTGCAAACAGCCCCGATGAAGAACGTGGCGAACAAACCGAACAGGAGACCCGCGTTGCGGAAGGCCATCGGCATCGCCAGTATCCCGGTGCCCAGGCTGCCCTTGAGCAGATGTATGAGGGTGTCGAGGTCCGAGGTCGGATGCGCGAGCTTCCTGTGCTCGAACGGATTGTAGAGTGCGGCCTCCTCGTCGTTCGGTCGTTCCACGAGCGGCAACGTCGAGCCGTTCGTGACGGTAATCGGTACGTCATTTTTCTCGCACTTGTATCTGCAAAACCGACGTCGTTAATGCGATGTCCCGTTGTTGAGTTTCCGTTAGAAAGGGGTATATATATATATAATATTTACATATTATAATTCTGAGAGCGGCGCGGTATAGTGATCGCGTGAGTATATAGTGTTTTGCGTGGGAACCCCCTGAACCTCCGTACGGCACGGTACGCGTCGTGGTTTAGCGAGCGATCGACGCACCCCGATTACGTATCGGTAGATCGATGTAGGTCGGATCGACGATGTTTAGGAGGAAAAGAAAAGAGTTGGGGGTTGTTGGATCGTGTCTTTGGTGGTTGAGAAGATTGGGGGTGAGGGTACATTCTGGTTGAATGAGTCTGTTTGGAAACAATCGAGACGAGAGTATCAATTGCAAATGTATCAAATTACAAATGGCTGGAAGATGAGAGAAGCGCAGATTGGTAAAGAGTATCGACGAAAAGGTGAAATCTTAGGTGAAGGGATATTAGTAATTAGAAATGTTTGGAGCGCTTTCTTGACTGAAAATCAAATTTCTTGTTTATAAGACTCTTTCTAGCCGCGATAAATTGGCTGAAAATTGAATTTGGTTAAAATAAAATCCTTTTTAAACTCTACTCTCTAATATACACTGGGTGTAGAATGTATTCGTACACTGATCAATTTCCCAAAAAACTTTTATGTGAAATTGTAGTTTCTTAACTTCTTTTTTTGTAATCAATGATATTTTACATATTCTTGGAAGTCTCTAAGGTAGATACAGTCCAAACAACATTTACTAGTTAGTATAATTTGTGAAATTTAACAAAAAAAAATGCGAAAAGTGGGTAAAAGTATAGAAGCAATAAGTATTTGTACGATTCTTATGACGAACCATTTACAGTAGAGTTTGTAACGTAAACACATTAGTTTATTGCTCCGTGCGAATTAGAAGACATCAAATTTCCAGTAAAGTACTTTTAAACAGTTGTGCGAATACTTATTGCTTCAACATTTCTATCGATTAATTGCTTCTTTCTTGTTAATTTCGCAACTTACATAAATAGCTATATTTTTTTGTAATCTATCTATTCTACAGATTTCCGAGAATATGTAGAATGTCATTGTTTATAAAAAATAAGTTAATAACTTACAAATTTTACACAGTTTTTTGGAAAATTGATCGGTGTACGAATACTTTCTACACCCACTGTACATGTCAAATAGAAAGTTTTTGTAATATATTAGATATACATGAATGGTATCAAGTACTTCATCTTTGTTAGAACAAGTAATAAAAGGAGTGTAAACTTGCTACCTGCAGAAGTTTAACAAAATTATTCAGAAAATGATTGTTCTGTAAACTAGTAATATTCGCGAGGGAATGGAGTTTGGCGTTGTGTGTTTCCGCAGCTGCCGACTGCTCAAGTCGACGGCCGCTCTGGAAAAACATAAACAGTGGTGGGAGCTGATTCTTGATAACAAATTCGAGCAACTATTATCAACATTAATATTCCTATGATTTTTTTTTGATTTTTTTTATTTATTGTTAAGCTCCAAGTTTACATAGAAAAAAACTTATACAGCCATTACTTATAGGAACTTGTATATATAAATAGAACTAGATTACAGAACAAGATATCTTTGGAGCAAAATTAAATCTTAAGGTTACATTAATGAAGAAATTTACAAATGATGGAGCAGATTTTATTGGAAAGGTTGCAAAGGAGAGATTCAGAAGAGAGAGGGGGGTAGAGTTGAAGCTTGAAGAGATCAGAAATAAGAGAAATTCTTTGAGAATCGAGTAAGGGGCATTACCACCATAAGATAAACATTCCTATGAATATTCTACCATAAAATTATACAAAATATTATCATTGCTGGTGATATGAACAGAATCATTTGAATGCAGTGTACCCCTTTAGAAGCATTTTTCTCAACCACCAATGAGAGGTGTAGCTTTCGTTTATCGCAACGGATCCACCCAACACGGGGAGAAGTAGAGGAACAAAAAGGATCGAAATGTCGTAGCTCTGGAACGAAAGGACGCGTTAACCCTTGCGGTCGTATGTCGGGCAAGGCTCGACAAAAATGTGAAATCAGGAAATCTAAATTGCAAAGGATTAAAGTTTGCGAAGTGGCATGCATGGTCGACCGTTCAATCGAGTTTTCGTGGTGCTCTACTATTCTGTATTATCTATATTTGTCGTTGTTAGATATCATTGTTGTCATAAACAATTGAATGACTCATTAGTCATTACACGTCCTGATCACTTTTTAATTTTGCTTGCGTTATTGCATTCGAGTTGAATTGATTTCTTGTTACGAATTATTTCAACTTGTTCAAGTGTACACTACAATATATACGTGAATTTTAAAATGATTTTTTTATGATAATTCAAGTAATTTATTTCTTGATGTAATACCAACAGTTTCTTTAATAATATTGCATTAGTAGAAAATAGAAAGAATGAAAACACAGAGTTTATAACACATCAATTATGCTACTTTAAGTGACATACTAATTCCAAATGTTTCACGGTTCCATAAATAAAATAGTCATATTTGTTCTTTATGCGAAACTCTTAATTCGTAATCCAAGAACTGTTACACCATAAATAATTAAATAAATACGTTGTACATTGTCGATAGAGATCATCATTATTATTATTCAAATGCACGTATAAAGCGTAATATTTTTACTAACTTACATTGAACTGCACGAACTATTCTTTAAATAAAAGAAAAAAATACGACTGAGGAAATTCAGACAATGCTAGACTAGTAATACGTCACTATCTCTCTGACAAGCAAATGGGCTTCTTCGATACGAAATTTCACATTGAAAGTCCATGCATTAAAGTGATATATTAACTTCAAAACTAAAATTACGTAACTTACGTAACTTTGCTATCTGAAATATAGGATGATACAAAAGTAAATATTTCTATACACGTTTTAATCAACAACCGAGTTTCATACAATTATTTATCCTTGTTTTTCCTCAATTCTTTCCGAATCAAATACAAATCCCTACATTCAAATACAGATTCAAAGATACTTTCATTATCATTCCACGTCATACTATCAGGAACAATCTAGACAAATATTTGGCATTTACTTCAAACTCGCCGTAGCAAAATTGATTTAATGGCACGTGTCAGAATTGTCACCTAATCTGTCATTGAAAGATTGGCATCATCATTGAAGATTGAAAAACAGAGACGCAACCCGACTACGCCACTGAGCGCGCGTTTATGAATGAAAGGCTGCACCGAACGAGCTCGATGCACGATAAGGACACGACTAGCAGTCATGAGCTACGCGTTTCGATTAGGCGAAAGCTGGACACTCGTAACAAGCATTAATCCTAGAGTAGAGGAAATGGAGGTGGCAGTGAGTGAACCGCTCGACGATGCTCGACTCTTCCGAATGAAATGAATTCAGCAACCTTGAGTCGCTTTTATCCGCGTTTGAAACAAGCAAAGGCAAAATTTTACTCGACTATCAAATAACGAATAAAAACGTTAATGATTCGTAATGCTTGTTCGATCGAATAGTTACACGTGGGAATTTTTATTTGTTTAACGTGAAAAGTTAAGAATGCAAATTCTATACTTTATTTAATAAGGAACTGACATAAGCTTTATAATATAAAGTTCTTTAGGTTTTATTTTTATTCGAAATATGTGCGTACAGGTAAAAATTTTGCCAGGCATGGGTTTGAATGCTGCTGTAGACATGATTTGTTTTAAGCCCCCGAGGACAGAAGCGATATTTTGTTTTCGAAACCAAAAAGACGTTTTTATTTTAATTTATCTATTCCTCGGTATACTAATTACTTTTTACACGCATAGAGAATAAATCATTTTCGTTTCGATTCTCCTTTTATCCTTTCTTTTTCCAAGTTAAATGGTGTTCACTTCCTGCATCGGTGTATATTCTAGGCTAATTTGCGTTGCGCATAAATTATAGTACGAATATAAACACGCTCGCGTAACGATAGTAGTATATCAACATGCTCGAGACCGTTTTACGTTATTTTTCAACCTCTGTTTATTCAAGAAGTCTATCATAACTAAAGAAAAATGTAAATTGACGGGAGTTTTATCAACAATTGGGAAAATAAAGATTTCTTTTTGGTTTCTCAAACTTGTCGCTTGATTCGCGTATTCGATGGACCCCCGAGTGCAATTTGCATAAATAATCGTCGAGATCCAAAGACATCTCTAAAGAATATAGAATTTTCCGAATATTTTCATCGGTCATTGAGAAATTTCGTCACTGGATTGATTATTAATTTATTCACGTGTTTCTACAGGCAAACGTTCCTTCCGCTTCCTCTCTGGCAACCAATCTTCCTCATCCGTGGGAATATCGCAGAATCAATAAAAGTATCGCAAAGGATGAATCATTATCTCCTCGTTTTCGCGAAATAATTAGTAGGTTGTCCCGAAAGTTTCTTTCGCGAGTTGCTCTCAATTATTTTATGTGGTCGTGTTTCTATAAATAGACAATCTAATTTCATAGATATTCATGTTGTAACAGTAATGGAGCAAAATGAATCGTGTACAATTCAGTAATGTAACATAAAACATAAATTATTGTGCATGTATTACTTATTAATAAAGCGAAAGAAACTTTTGGGACAACCTAATATATTTATGGTTTATTAATTATAGTCGCGATTTTCGTTTCCTGTTCGTCTGCTTGCTCTACTGGCTCACTGACAAAGATGAAGACGATGTAGACAAAACCACGCAATCGTGACAGAAAGAAGCATAGTTCACTTAATAAAACACTCAAACTTTTCATTCATTATAAGTAGACGCAGTGAATGTTTATGCGAATTTGTATTTTCGTAGACGCAGAAAAAGAATTGGAACTTAAATGAAAGTGTCTGATTTTCTAAATGCAATAAAATCTATATATTATTGTTGAAATTTTATATATATTTTGTATTTATGCATTTTCATAAATTTTACCATATCTCTATTCGCCCTAAATGCATAAACATTCGCAGTCTAATTGTAGGTTATC